GGGGGCTGGTGGTGAGACCAAAGAAATACAAAAGTAACATATCAGCAATTGAGTGAATTCAAAAGCAACAGAACATACTGCAGAAAATATTGTAATGGAAAATCAATCAAATTTGTACTCTCACCTTTGCACTAATTTTGAGGACAAAATTTAAAGAAAAAAACTGACAAGATGATCAAAATGCAAATTGGATCTTGGTTACTGGCAATGTTTAGTGTTTCAACAGTCATTAGGTATGACAGGATTACAAAGGAGAATGGAAAAGCAACAGAACATACTGCAGAAAATATTGTAATGGAAAATCAATCAAATTTGTACTCTCACCTTTGCACTAATTTTGAGGACAAAATTTAAAGAAAAAAACTGACAAGATGATCAAAATGCAAATTGGATCTTGGTTACTGGCAATGTTTAGTGTTTCAACAGTCATTAGGTATGACAGGATTACAAAGGAGAATGGGGAAGCCTTAAGGAAAAAATCCTGTTCAGCCCCTTTGGAGAAGTGGAAGCTGTGCATCACAGCCAACAGGAAAGGCAGCACTAATGCAGCTACACCTCAGGGCTGTGGGACTGTGCAGAAGGAAGCCAGAGGTTAACAATGGCTGAAGAGAGGGATTCTGGCTCTAGTTTCCCAGTTGGCAGTGACGGGATGGAGTTCTTGCTCTGCTACCTGCCCAGAAAGTTCAGTTGTGTTTGTTTTGTTGTTTTTGTGGTTTTTTTTTTAATCAAGTGCTCACCTACCCCAAATGCCATAAACTGCCCAAAAGAGGGATCAGATTCCATAATGCCATAAATCCCCCTGGAGTGTCCCTGTTGCTAGGGGACAGTCGTCTTGTTCACACTGTGCGTTGTTGTGGATAGCTGAGGACTGAGCCATTCCCTGGAGAGGTGCTCCACTGGGCTGCTTCTCTGCAGCAAGCAGATGCTTTTGTGAATTTGAAGAATTACGTTAGAGTTTTCTGGACAAGTGACATTTCTGAGGCATTCAGTGGTAGAAAGTACTCTAAATGATTGATGATTGGCAAATGCATTGTGTGTTAGGATAGTAATATGAAGTCATCAGACACAAGATACCCAATTTGTTGTAATTTACGGACAACCTAGAAAGCTGGGTTTCTGTTGCCTATGAATTTTTTCTGACCTACCTTTGGTTCCATTTAGTTGGAAGCAAACAAACAAAAGGACTCAAAATTTGTTACAGACTAAGTTGCTGAAGCCTGCAGATGCTCAGTGATACCGGTACTCCTCTTGCTTTCCCAGAGGAGCTGCAGGCAGCTTCCAGTTCCCTGACTCCAAGGGAAAGTTGGCAGATTAGTCTTCTTTTTCTTGTCCACCCTTAATTCAAATTGTAGAAGCTGAAAAGTCAACCTCAGACCAGCAGGAGGTAAAAATGTGATTTTGCACTCATGCGTTAATTTGTTAATAAATCTGATAGAATGCAAGCTACCTCCCACTCAGATGAGATTAGCTGCTCTGTTAACAGCAGGACTCAAAAACAGTAGAACAACAGGACTCTAGTGCTGACCTTAGCTAGGAAACCTAGCAGCACAAGGTCCTTAACTCTAGAAATCCAGACCAATTCCTCAAATCCAAAAGGTATCTAAAAAACACACATTTTAGGCTCATGTTACAGCGCTTCCAAGCAGCTCTAGGCATCGTATGATATGGCAAATCTGTGTCTGTACCATGGATACCTGCCTAATCCTTGAATTTATTCCTTTTATTCCTCCCTAGAACGTTTCAGTGCTGGAAAATCATCACTGGCGATCAACGATAGGCATGCTTCGAGAGTCACGGCTCCTTGCCCATCTGCCCAAGGAGGTGACGTAAGTGTCTGCTGGAGGAAATGCATCACTCAAACTAGCCCATGGCTTTTTTTGCTCTCCTTAAAAGGACGCTGGCAAAGAGGCCCAGGCTCTAGAGTAAACTGAACTCCCTGCCCTCTCTTGGTGTGCCAGTATGAAATAATGAGACAAAGTTATACAGTGGAAGTATTTTCTAAGACACTGCCACTTCTGCAGCACAGGAATGGTCACTGTCAGTTCTGGGGACATTGGAATGGAATGGACCTTTTCAGATCCACTGTTCACAATTTTCATTTTAAATAGCACCAACCAAATATGGAAAAATTCAGTGATTTAAATACATGAAATAGAGAGAAAAATAAAGGAGTTGGTCAAGTAGCATGGAGACTGCTCAGGATTTCCACATCTGACTGAAGAGGTGTGATTCAGTCTTCACTGTCTTTTTGGGTGAAGCAAAAAAAAAACCCAGCAACATGAGCACCTTGGCCAAGCTGATGCTAACTTTTTACCTGCTGGTTTTGTGCAGTGTTACTCCCACCAAGGAATGAAGATTGAGCCAATGAACAGCCTGCAATACTAAGTTTTAACCACAGGTGACCTTACTAAGAATATAAACAAGTTACCAGTAAGAAGTAAGCTTCATATCCCTGTGGAAATCCTTTGCTTCAGGCCAACAACTTCAGTCCTACTTTAAAGGACTTCAGTCCAGTCCTTTACAACTTTAACTGCAACTTTAGAGTTGCAGTATTCAACACCCAGCTCTGAGCAGCTGAAGTAAGATGTGAGCATTTTTCTAGATGCATCATGCTGTTGTTTTGGGGATTTTTATTTTCCTAGCACTTTTCAGAAGCTTTCAGAACCACCTATGCCAACAAGCATTTTTCTTCTACATTATCTATTCCTCCTGAACCCATGTAGGCAGCTAGAACAGTTGTATTCTGCAAACCCCAGCAGAGACTGACCAAACAGATCAGACTGGGTCCATAAGGAAAGAGGAAGCTTTATGCTATGATCTGTAGCAGGTTGTTTTGAGCTATGTTAAATGGTTCCATGACTGAAGGGGCTTATTTTCCTTGATTGCAGACAGGACATTGAACAGCAGTTGGGCTCCCTGATCTTGGCAACAGACATCAACAGGCAGAATGAGTTTCTGATCCGTCTGAAATCTCACCTTGACAATCAGGATTTGAGGCTGGAGGATGCACAAGACAGACATTTTATGCTTCAGGTAACTTTAGAAAATATATTTCCACTATGTTTTTTTTATTCCTTTTTCAAGTCACAGTATCTTCTAGTATATGTTAGAATAGTGTATGATAGTGTGTCTGGACACCAGTGTCTCCTTACCTATCACCATAAACACTTTGCTTCAGGCACCTGGCATGTCAGGCAAGCGTAAGGTGCCTCCAGTATTTCCTTATGTAATTTCCTTGAGTTAAAAAGCTGTGAATGTAACAGATAACAGCAGACTGTCAAAAGCTGAGAAATTAAGACAAGATATTAATTATTTTATTTCCAGACCACTGCTTCTCTTGCCAGGTAATGCTTTGATGAAATTTTATCTTCTGGCAAATGTTACTTCACCGGTGTTATTTCCTAGCACCGTGCAGGAGAGCCCCCTTGTCGGTGTTCTTTCCAAGACAGCCTGACATTGGGTGCCCAAGTCCCATTCCTGTGATGGATGTTCAGAAACTGCCTCTGCAGAGACAGCTGTTGCCATGGCAGCAGATGCTTCTCTGTTGGATCAGCTAATGAAGAAACCATGCCTTATTTAAAAATCAAATAGATTCAAACTGGTTCCTCCAACTAAGCTACAGTCATTAACAGGCTCTTCAGAATAAATCTCTACCTGTTAAAGCATTATTGTAATTAAAATAGCTGCATATACATGCTTCTCTGGAGAAATGACATTAATTTCACTCTTAAATGCAGAAGTTTAAGTAATTTTTATAATTTATAAAACAAACATCTACATGTCATCGCTTTGTCAAGGTTACAGTTGCAAGGAAAGAAGTGCTGTTCTGTCAATTCTTTCCCCTCCACCAGCGCGGGAAATGTAGTGTCGTGGGTTAAAGTTAACTTAAA